AAGTCATCTGTTAGCCTTGTACACTCAGTCCAGGCCACCGCGTCCTCAATCACCCAGTGTCACACAGTTGGGAGCCTGCAGGGCTGAGACCCCAGCCCAAGGCCTCTTCTCCCTGCATCGCGACAAACACGGGTCCCCTGAGGGGCTGCCAGGGGAGAATGGCAGGACGGGGCATCTTTTATCCGGCCCCTGCCCTGACAGCAGGGTTTTATGGGGTGTGGCTTGTTTGATAAGCATCTCTTGACTTGAATGAATGGGCCCACACCTGCTTTGGAGATGAAAATTTCGGTGGGGGTAGGTTCCTTTGAGGACAACCTGGGGGCCCCCCGAAAGCCAGAGAGGCATAAGAACAGGCTCTCCCCTCTGGTCCTGCCCTCTCGCCCTTCTCCACCAGGGGGTGCTCTTTCCCCTTCAGTGGAAGGGCCGCCCCTGTCGTCCAGGTTTAGGGCTGCCCGTCCTATAACCCCGATCCTCTGTTTCTCCTTCGCAGCTTACGGTGTGCTTTGAATCCATTATCAAATGTGACCCGCACATGGGAGGCAGGCCGAGAAGGTCTTGTTGTTCCCATCTTACAGAGGGTGAAACAGGTTCAGAGAATGTCCTTTTCCTCAAAGACATAGAGCTATCAGGTGGGCAGGATGGGAACTTGAACCCAGGTCTTTGGACTCTCGAGTCAGTGCTCCTTGATGACACCATACGACTCCTAGCTGGCTCCTGGGCTAGGCCTGATCCTGACTGGATGGCTCTGGTCCGAGGACTCCTCCCTGACGGTGGAGAACACAGGTTCTCCCTCTGGAGCCCCACACGCTCTGGTTTTTTCTTTACTCCAGGTCTCTCTCCCACCCAAGTCTCTCCCACAGCTCACCTGTGCTGCTTTCTTTCTTTCTTTTTTTTAAGTTTATTTATTTATTTATTGAGAGAGAGAGAGAGTGCGGGGAAGGCAGAGAGAGAGAGTCCCATGCAGGCTCTGCGCTGCCAGGGCCCAGCCCAAGTGCAGAGTTCGATCCCCTGAACCATGAGATCAAGACCTAAGCCCAAATCAAGAGTCGGGACGCTTCACCGACTGAGCCACCCAGGCACCCGTGTGCTGCTGTTTTTTAACAAGCCCGATTCCACTTCCTCACCCCTGACTCTTTCTCCCTGTATGAGCTGGCCTCTGCCTCCTCCAGTCCCCTGAAAGTGCCCTCTCTGCCCAACACAGTGCCACCTCCTCTGGCCCCCTGCTCCCACTCTGTCTTCTCTGTCGTCCTCACGCCCTCTTCCTTCCTCACGTGCCCCTAAAGGTGGGTGCTCCTCATGTCCTGTCACCTACCCAGTCTTCTCCCTGCACCTGCCCTTGTAGAATCCGAATCACACTCCTGGTCTGCTGACGACTTCCAAAGCCGTGGCCCCTGTTCGGGCCTCTGCCCGCAGTTGTCCACTGGCAACACAGCCTGTAGGTTCAGTGTGTGGACTCTGGAGCCCACATGCTTGGGTTCAGATCCTGGCTGGACTTAGGTAAGAGACTCAAGCTCTCTGGGCCTCCGTTTCCTTAGCCGTAAGTGAGGATTATAGTATCTCTTTCACAGCTCCTTTGTAAGGCTGACCTGGAATAATACATACAAAGGCCCATACGGGGCCTGGCATGCCCCCTCTCCCTCGAGAACACTCTCCTTCCCCCGACTCCCAGTTGGTCACCGCGTCCTGGGGTCTCTGATGTTTCTTGCCCCTGCCCTGGTGCAGTGTCTCCCCCACCCCGCTCCCCACCATTCCCATCTCCTCGTTGCCCTCCTTCTTTCTGGCGACGTGGCACATCTCTGCTTCAATCCCTGCCCCCGGCCAGGCTAGAATCAAAGTGCCTCAAGGCCCAGTCACTCCGTCGTCATATCCCCGCCCACATTTCCTTCCTCTTCCCTCCATGCTTCCTGCCCACGTATGTACCTTCCATACCCTCTGCTTGGTGCCAGCCACGCGACTAGACTCTGCTTTCTCCTGCCTCCCTGCCTTTGCCTATGAGAGTCCTTTTCCCTGGAGCGCTCCCCC